GATTATAGATACATCAATTAAATAAATTACTGACAATTATATTTAGTTAAATTTTTTTATTCCTTAAGATCTTACCACTCAACTTATTTGTCATGTCAGATAATTAAATTTACCTATAGGGTTTGACATTGACAAAACTTATGAGATTCGTCAAGAGGACATCATAAACTCATTTAAATATCAGGACGTGATTTCCTTTAATAATTTAATTATTACAAAACACTAATTAAATATGTTTTTACTTTTTTGACAAAGTTATTTGTTGGTAAGAAAGTACTTCGAAAAAAAACATAACCAAGTGGTAGCTTCTTTATTGTTTAGAAACTAATAGTAATAACCTGTTAATTTGGCAAAAAAAAAGAGTTAAATTGTAGCACATCTAAGAAAACTCCAATCAAGTTTCCCTTTCAAGAAGGTCAATGAAACAAATAGTCCCTCTGTAGCCTTATATTGACCTCAACCTCAATTTAGTACAAGTTATGATGGAAGAAAATGAAGAATGAATCTGTTTTTTTTTTCTTTGGTGGTGGAGGGGTGCCCTAGGGGTGGGGCTTAAGCTAGACTCTGATGCTTATTGAGTTGATACAAATGACATGAACACATGGTAATCCAAAAGTTTATGCCTAAACCATCAACAAACAAAAGCTGCATAAATATATCATCTACATACAAGAACCGATCCATTTACAAACAATTGGAAGTTCATAATAGTACCCAAAACCGAACTATTCAATACTCAAAACCGAACTATTCAATCCCCAAAACCCCAGGCAAGTCATGTCTCTAAAGTTGCAGATATCATTTCCTTTAATCCTAAAGGTTGGGACATCTCTGGACTGGAACCTTTCGTGTCAAGAGGGGAATTGAAGGCAATTCAAGTTATTCCCTTACCGTTAGATGGAGGTAGTGATAGAAGAGTTTGGTGGCCAACTTGCAAGGGTTCCTACTCTATTAGGTCTGGATATAGGCTGGGTATTCAGGCGGCCACAGACAAACTTGAGGGCAGCTCCTCTAGCTCTCTCCATCCCAATCTGTGGCAGTCTCTTTGGAACATGAAAGCAATCCCGAAGGTAAAGCATTTATGGTGGAAGGCCTATCATAATACCCTAGCCTCTCACGAAAATTTGTTTAGAAGGAAGTGTGCTGCTACGCTTTTATGTCAGATCTGTAAGTTGGCTACAGAATCTATTGAGCACATTTTGTTTGACTACTTGTGGACAAAAAAGGCATGGTTTGGAATCGATCTTGCTACTATGGGTAATGACCCAATATTCACGTCAGTGATCCAAAGAACATCTGCCCTCCTTTTGTTGGTTAAGGATGCAAAGAATAGACTTGAAATCCTAAGGAAGATGGCCACTGTGAGATGGATTATTTGGAAGGCAAGGAATCAGTTTATCTTCAACAAAGAGGAAATGAATGCATATGCTTCAGTTCTTCGTGCCCAAGTCATGTGGAGGGACCAGTTTAGAGCCACTGATGAGGGAGTATCAAGCGGACAACAGGCTTCCACGACAAGGGATGAGACAACTCATGTGTTTGAAGAGGAAGCTCGAATTTTTTTGCGATGGCGCTTTTAGATTAGATGCGGCAAAGGCAGCATGTGGGGTTGTTTTATGCAAAGACAGGGGTGTCCTGGATTTCAGTTGTGCCAAGGTATTCCCTGCAACTTCCCCTCTGTTGGCTGAGGCTGAGGTAGTAAGGCAGGCTTGCCTTCTCGCTGAAGCCAAACTGATCACCCATGCCACTATCCAAAGTGATTACCTCAATGTTATTAAGCTCAGCTCAAATGAAGATGACCCCATGGGATATCAGAGTAATCATTGAAGATATTAGATTTTATGCTAGATCTTATAACTTAAGTTTTTTACACAAGTCTAGGGTCTTTAACAAGATTGCTCATTGGGTGACTGCCAATATACTAAACAACTCCCTTCCGGCGAGTTGGTTAGAGTCCCTCCTCCCGATCTTATGACTTTCCTTTTGTCTGATTGTAATCAAAATTTTTCTAGTTAATAAAATTATTATCTCGTGTGTTTCTGATAAAAAAAAAAGTGTATTAGTGTGTATATTTTTAATATATTAATTTGTGTGTTTTGATGTATTAGTGTATGTTTGTATTTTGTTGCACTATTAATGTGTGTATGTGTTTAGTGTACTAATGTGTCAATTAAAAATTTCAATTATTTTATGGGTTACTCGGTTTAACTCAACTCGTTATAAATCTAACCCATTTACTAGGTGAGTGAAAAATAGATTTGATTTATTTTAACTCAATCTAATTTAACTCAATTCATAACCAACCCAACCCACCCATTTGTCACCCCCAATAGTCACACGGTGACGGCGTATCTATGAAATTTAAAATGCAACCAAGAATCCAAAGGGAATGTACTTGAGATGAGTCACTGTTATCCTACGAGTAAAAGGGAAGACTACGGTACCAAAAATTATAATGTTTTAAGATTAAATTATATTTTTTTTGAGGCGTAAATTTTAATTTATAACTTTAAAGGGCATGATCAATCATGAAAGGATAAGACCGATACCGAGATTTCATGATCAATTATGAATATCTATGATCGATCATAATTTTTTCTTTAACAGTTGTAATTTCTCCTTTTAAAATTATAATTTTATTCTAAAAAGTAGTAATTGACGGTATCGGTTTGAGTTTCCTACGAGAAAAAGGAAAAAAAAATACATAGTTTGGCAATAAGGAAAACATCGCAAATATCCCATGAATTTTGCCCCTTCTTTGAACTTGCCCACTAGCTTTTAGCTTATCAAAATTTTACCCTTTTAATTATTTGTCTTGGTAGAAGTTCACATATCTCCCTTACATATAAACCTAAAATTTGACAGAGATAATAATGAGGAGCTTCTAAAGGATTCCCAGTGGCTGGAATTGAGGGGATGGAATTCTTTCTGATATATTTTTTATTTATTCTTTTGGTGAATCATAGGAATTTTAAGTAGACTTCGTTATAATATTGAATCTCTTATCCAATAATAGTGGATGATCGGACAATAAGATAAATAGAAAATAAAAAAAAGGATAAAGTTACACTTTGACCCACATGACTATGGACTCGATTGTAACTTTACTTTAACTCCGGTGATTGAATTTTTCTTATTGTACCCTCACTAATTAAATTATTTCACATTGTCCCAAGAAGCAAATACCAGCTATCTTTTCGAACAAAAATTACAAATGTGTTGGAATAAAGTGAAAAAAATTACATAATTTGAGGGACAAAATAAAATAATTTGTTATCAAATTAGTAACATATGTTAATAATTAGTCATAAACAAGGATCAAAATATCGTTTCGAAACGTTTGAAAGATCCAAAACGTTTCCTTTTCTAAGGAAACCGAAATGAATCAGAAATGGAATCAAAATTCTAATACTTCGGGGTATTCTATAATGTTTTGAAATGTTTTATTATATTTCAATGCATTTGCACAATTATTTCTGAATGTTTTAAGGTATTTCAAGATATTTTGGTATATTTTGACCAATGTTCTGAAAAAATAATTCTTAAATTTTTATTTTTTTAAATATGATTTTCGAAATAGGTCGAAACATTTCCAAAACATGTACAAACGTTTCTGTTTTCTAGATGACAAACAAAATTTTGATCTTTGATCATAAATTTGTGATTTGACCACTTAAATACAAACTACAAACGAATTCCCTCCATTACCTCTTCTCTTCAATTCCCCTACATACAGTACTAGATAAGTGACATGTATAAGATTCTAAACTTCAATAGACAATATTTTTTCCTTATGAGAAAATTTCTTAATAATAGCTAACACTCTACCAACAACAAAATGAATGAGGAAACATTTTATTCATTAAAATTCAAAATATTACACATGTCACTCATCTAGCATTGTATTGAGGAAAATTGAAGAGAAAGGGTAATAGAGGAAATCTAAATTCGAAGTCTCATACTTGCAAATCTAGTTACCAAAAGAGACTAACCACACACATTGTCCACTACTCATGTATATTATCCTTTGCCTATACTTGTTTTATTCATTTTTCTAAGATTGACAATGGAATCATGCTACTATATTATGTTCGAGCCACATACAAAACGAGCTCATTTTCAGTTCATGTTATTCTGGATTGTGTCCTACATGTATGAAGTATCGTATCTGAGTCAATGCGTATAACCTATAAACCTGAAACTCAATGGCGGAGGTATTAAGGGGGCAGGATCCTGGCCCATCCTGATTTTTTTACCTACACTAGTTTTACAATTTGTTTTTAGATTGTCTTCAATTGGGCCCACTCTTTAGTCTAAACTATAGTTATAACGACCCTCAGTAAATTCCTGGCTCCGCCCCTACCGAAACTCAAAAGTCTTAGACCCACTAAAACATATCCACTGTACATAAGTCTCCAGTCATTAACAGTTTACTAGATTCACATCCTAGCAAGCCCAAGTAAAAAACCATTTAATACTAAGATAAACATTAAAACTTAGATCAAGAAATAAAAATAAAACAATAGACATTTTCTTCATGTAATACCAATTTAACTAGTATGTAGTGTCACAGGACTTAAAGAAACTGAGAAAACTTGTTCTGAAGACTCTCAGGGAATCTGGCTACACAGAAGATGCAAACCAACTCACTGATATGCTTGAGCACAAGGTGAACCAATTCTATGGACTGATTCATTTTCGGGCTTCTTGCAATAATCTGACTCGTTTATAATTCTTGTTAGCAAGTTGGTCATTTTTACCTTCAAACAGTGTAATAGATTGTATCGAAAATGACCTCCCTTAATTTTCTCCTTCCATAGATTTTTCCTTTTTTGTTTTTTGGTATTCTAAGCTATAGCTAAATCAACAAAAGCATAATAAAGAGTTGGTTTTATTTACGTTGCTCTGCAACCTTATAGGCGTAACGCCATTTATTTGTACGGTTTTATTGCTTTATTTTATGTCCCAATACAAGACAGTCTCTCGCTTATAAGGAGAGTTTAATAAGTCCACTCTTTAGGCAAAGCAAGTTCAGCTGGAACTGGAGGCAACTCTTTCTTTCCTGCTGCTTCCTTTTTGACAACAAACTTCTTTGCAGTGACTTGCTCCTTCCCACCTAAACAGGGACACATTAAAGAGAGAGTGAGATTTTTCAGCCATGGTGAATTAGCATATATCACAGGGAAGTGTCATAAGATACCTACACTTCTAGTGAAAACAAAATCTCCAAATCAAGTGCATGTTTGCATCAAATAAATCCACACAATCACTGTTAATCATGGATCCCGGGAGGTGGGGAGGGTCGGAGGTTGGTTAATGTTTAAAAAATAACCGAGTTGGGAGCAAAATTTCTGAAGTGCTTCCTAGAGATTCAACAAGTTAATCTCCCCCAATTTATTTCTTTATTTTCCTAAATGTTCCTGTGCCTTCTAACATTAAAAAAAAACTTGTAAGAATGTATCATCCCGAGCCTAGATCCTAGATCCTAGATCCTAGATCCTAGATCCATCCCTGGTAGTATTCTTATCAGCCGATATGCTCTGTAATGGCTAAATCCTGATTCCGTTCCTGGTAGTATTCCAATCAGCAAATACGCATTGAAGTTACAACATCCAACTACGCCGTATGGCCCTAAACAAAAGCCCTTATTCAATAAATAGCTCACTCTATCCAATCTTCACAGGGTTCTTAGCATGTGGATTTTCGAAACAGGCACTTTCAAATGTTTATGAGGTTCAGTGTGAGATATCAAGGTTCCCATGTGGGACTGGTTTTCTAAGCATGTTGAAATCAATTCTCTTCAATGAATCGTTTCACTATCTGCAGAATTTAAATTTTGTTGTTTGTAGGTATGTATAAATGCTGTCAAAAGTAAACTGTGTTTCATTATCATGAAAATAGCAGATTAAAAAAAGTATGAAAGAGAAATTGCGGAATTGATACTTTTTCCTTTATTTTTTATGAATCAAGTAGAAACAAAATGTAAGAGTATTCAATAGTTTGGCAAGAAAAAGTGTGGTGTTGGAAATAATTTCATCCCAGATCTGAAGTGGCTTTGAAAAGAAATAAAATTTATATAAACTCGTGTGATTTAACTAGTAAGGAAAGGTAGATTCTTGAAACTGCTCGTGCGTAGAGGTAGGCGAAAGGAGAGGTGATACACATAGCAAAGCTAAAGTACCTCTAAATATAAAACATGACGTGACATTCACTACCTAGTGCTATTCACTCAAAATTTTCAGTTTCATTATAGTAGAAAGAAAATATTGTGAAATTGAATTCTACAATTCCATTCTACATGTAAACCCCATATCTAGTTTACCTATAAATGGAAGCTTTATCTACCACTTCAAACCATCACATTCCATAGCAATTCTGGTGTAGACTTAGAGAAGCTACAATAAGTAGTCAAGGAGTTGTATATTGGAGGCAGCATGTTGTGACCTAGTCCGTGCCTCAATTTTGTTGTTACTTGTCTTGGTACAACTGGTTTGATTTTTAACATTTTCAAGGTAAATTCTGATTATTCTTCCAACATTAACTTAAAAATAGATTTACTTTAAATAGATTTCCTCTAAGGTGAAGATAAAAAAAACATATAGCTAGCGTCCTTCTGAGCCAAGATCAAATTCTTCTTTTGAGTATGATTGCGTCCTATAATGGTAAAACCTAGTGAACCGGGTGTACAATTTCTCAACCTTCTGTGAACTTTCCTTCTCTTATGATTTTTGTTTGCTACTTTTTTCAGTTTAGTGATTGATATCTTAGAGAGTCTAAGTCTAGTCAGTCAACTAATCCACTCGTGGAGTTTCAAATTAGAGGAAAATGTAATGAAACAATAAAACCTACTATGCCCTACTTAATAGGTTACAAGGAACCTCTAATCATGCATAATGACAGGGAAATACACAAAATTGTTGTATGAAGTAAAATATGACAATTTGTGCAAAAAAACAGAGAGTAAAATATGGCAAGGTAATGAACAAAATTTTATCAGAGAAGTATTCCACTGTTCCCAATTCTTGTAGCATTTATACTAATATTTAGCATAGATTTTTACGTGCAACTATAATATTGTCAAGATATTCAATGACATATCTTCTTGACTAATTAATAAGTTTCCATATCCATAGACATCATCAGTACGAGTTGTGGAAAATGAAATCCCTAACTCGTCCATTCTCGTCATCTTGAAAGATATCTCAAGGATATAGCTTTTTATATTCTGGCAATATTCATCAGAAACCATATATTTTCTTTTACAAAAAGAAATAATGATTTTGACTTTCCTTGACATCACAGTTTGAAAAATGGCCATTACTGTGTGTAACAGCTGCTATGTAACAGATCGGAGAGGTCCCAACTGCCCTGCATGGGTATACCCTCAATGGGCTAAAACAATCCGGTAAATGGCCACTGCGGTTTTGAATTGTTTGGGAACCAAAAAAAACAAGTCAAATCTGTTTTGGAATATATTTTCAATAGAAAACCCATCACTCAAATCTGAAAATTATCCCGGCCTGAATTTATGCCCATAAAAAAAGTGAAAATGAAAAATGGTGAGCATTTCTCTATTTTAGCAACTTTAAAAATGTAATAGATCATCAATCACTTGATAACTATATATGTATGATTTTGAACTGAAAATATCCATATATTGTTTGAAGGGGCATTAAGAAAAAAAATATATTTTTTGCCTCCAATCCTGTTTCCATTATGTAACGTCTATTACACGCTTCATCCGTTACACCAACAATGTTAACTATGCAGTGGCCATTACTGTTTCTTAAAACCAACCGCCGGGTGGCAAAGAGGAATCTACAATAAATGCATATTCAACATCATTAAGAATTCATGGTCACAAAGCAAAGATGATTACTGACTAGTCAGGTTACTTATTCCAGTGAGCAAGCCTTTAAATGCACATTGTATTTACTCAGTATAGGACATAAGAATGAGCCTGTATTTCGAACTTTTTTAAGAAAAAGCTTTACCCTTCTGCTTTTTCTGAAAAGTATTCTTCGGTGCATCTGCAGCAGTGTGTTGAAGAAAAACACCAGCACTTCTAAGATGTTCAAACTCCTTTGTGGTGATTGTAGCACGGGGAAGATAGACACCAGTCCCTCCAGAGCTACCAACAGAATTCTTCACTTCTTTCCAATGGGAACGAGCCGGCCAAGTATCATTTCCCTGCCCCATTGAAACCAAATGGTCAGCTCCATGCCTCAAGCTCTCAAACTGTAACAAGATATAGATCAACAATAGTTTCACCTAAATTAAAAAAGGCATGCATGAAGGTTTCTTGACCCTCAATAGGATATGCATCCACCCACTACCCCTCACCGGATAATAAAAAATCTATTTCCTTGAAAAGAAAAATAATGACGTTACTTTTCAAGTGAAGTTCATGATTATCAACCTCACTTGAATAACTAATGATTTCAGATATCTATCCACTTTTGCTTCCAAATCTGTACCTGAGTTTGAGGTGCTGCAGTACGATTGTAAGGGCTAACTGGTCCATAAGTTGCTTGAAATGCATGACTCTGAGAGTGGCCAATGTTACAAACATTTCCAAGAACACCAGCCCTCTTCAAATTGGCACTACAAAAACCCTATATTTTTTTTCAGCAGACCCATGTCAGATAGCAACAACATACACATATAAAGCCAACTTATTCAAACAGTAAAGTATCATAGATATAGATTTATTCTTTGATTACTAAATCTCAATTCTTTTAATGAAAGAAATCAAGCAGGAGGTAGTGAGAGTACCCTGGCAGAATTTTCAAATGCAGCTTTGGATTGCACATTTAAAACGTTTGCAGCAGCACTTTCACCCGTGACGGTAGCATCATGAGCTTCATGTTCAACTTTTACATAGATGATTTCTTGGTAGATGTCAGAAGGGAGCCACTTTTCGCCATCTTCTAGATTCGGAGGGAAGTCTGCCATTGTCAGCAATGTGAACAAAACAAAAAAGAAAGGACCACAAGTAAGAGCGAGGCACATATGTCTGTCTATTTGTCTCAGGATGCTACGGTGATGATACATGGAGCCACCAATTTATACTTCATCCTCACCCTTAAACGGCAGAGTTCTAATGTGAAAAGGAGAGATAAAAAGTTACGAATCAATGAGGTCAAGTTGCAATTTAGTAAGTTCAATTTATTAATTGATGACATCCAAAAATTTGGGATTGATCACAAGTTTTTCAGATCTTTCCTTTAACATTAAGTCGTAATTTTATCATTTTGAGTCATAATTTTACCTAATTGAGCCGTAACTTTTAGTACGATACCGAAAAATTACTTTTTAGTACCATAAAATTTTCCCTAAAGAATGATATATTACATCATTTTGTAGCATCGCACACTTGGATACTTGTCATTAACTTTTTGTTTTGAAAAAGCTCTGAAAAAATAAAGATCCTTAAGTGAAATCATATAATTCCATGTAAAAAGGTAATGAAAGCGACAAAAAAACGGGTGACATATAATGTTGCTATTTAATAACATAACAAATTTCATAAATGATCTATAACAAACTTGGTTTATTCATGGTTGATTAATAACTTCATAAATGTAAGGACTAGTAACAAATTTGGTTCCATTGCGGATAGCTATTTATATTAAAAGGTCATTACTTCCCGTTAGTCCTGTTCTGTATAATAGTGTCAATGGATCAGGTTGCATGCATATCTGCATATATATCAATAAGCATAACCTATTTGACACTTTAGATTCGACTGCATTTTAGTAAAACTATTTGAAAAACTGAAGGAAAATCATCAATTAAGCACAAAAAATAGTACAAATAATAATAATAAATGGTCAAAGTAGAACCATAAGTTGAACAAGAATGGCCAACATCCGGGGATGAAAATTCCGTTTGATTTCACCATAAAACTGCAACGTTTGTGTTTCCTTGAAAACCAAAATCAATTGGTGATTGAATATCAACATTCCTATGTTTCAAGATGTTCTTGAATGTTCTGAGGTGTTTCAGCCAAGGGTTGACATAAATATGCAATTCTTCTCTGTTTCCATTCTCCTTCCAAAAATGTTTCTAGTTCCAGGCTGATGGAAAACATTCACCGAAATGAATCCTTGTCAAGATCATTCCTAAAAGCATTTGCAGAAGCAATGGATTCTCTTCAATCTCACCTCTCTCCCTAACCCCAATTATTTTTGGAACACACACATATTCACCTCTCTCCCTAACCCCAGTTCTTTCTAGAACACACATAAAGACTACATATTTTATTCGGTAATGGAGCAAGAGAGAGGGAGGATAGCGATTGAAGGGAAAATGTTAATATTTTTTTAGAGTCATGGCAATTTAGGTTGACCAATGCTGGCGTTGAAGCTGAAGGTGGAGTCAATTATCCATGCAAGTCATGCGCACAAACGCTATCTTCTCTCTCTGGACCATCCTCTTTTAGTTAAAATTTTTTATTTTATATTTAAATTTTGTGGTAGTTGTGTTTTGTGGTAACTTGATGGCTAGTGGAGGTGGTGGTGGGTGTTGTTTTTCAGTGTTTTCATGTCCCACGCGCATGTGTGCCATGTGGGTTATGGGGAGCATATTGGTGATGTTTGTAGGTGTGTTCTTCTCTCTCTGCATGTGCATATTTGCATGCAAGACATAAAAACAGAGAGAGGGTTGGTGATGCATGTGCATTCGTCTTTATCATGTGGATTTGTGTTGTGTTTAGGGTAGGTATACATTGGTGGTGTTTGTGTAGGCAAGCGATGGAGTCAGAGGTGGCAAAGTCGTGACGTAGGGGAAGGTGACAGTAGGCTTGAAAGTAGGACTGTTAATCAAACTGAACTACTCGAGCTTGGCTTGAATTCGGCTCGGGTTCGGCTCGTTCAGGCTCAGTTTCTTTTCTAAACGAGCCCGAACTTGAACAAGTTTTTAGGCTCGTTTAGAAAATAAGCCCTATAAGCTCGGCTCGTTTATATGCAAATACTCGGACTCGACTCGGGTTCAGCTCGTTCAGGATCGGCTCGTTTCTTAAACGAGCCGAACTTGAACAATTTTTAAAGCTCGATTAAGAAACAAGTTTTTTAAGCTCTGCTCGAATTCGACTTGAGCTCGTTCGATTAACAGCCCTACTTGAAAGGCAGCAAAAATAGTGATATAATTGGAGGTGTTGTAATGACCCAAGACCATACCCCTTGGCAGTGTTTGTGGAGTACTTTAGTAGTGTCAGCTTCGGACCTTCATTGTTATAGGCATTTTAAAGCCATAGGGAAACTGGATGAAAGGTCTACACCAAGACATGAGTTAATTTTCAAGATCTTGATTATTGAAATTGAAACTTTAAGGATGAATTATAATTTTGGTGCAAAGTTTAAGGGACAAAAACTGTCATTCTACTTAATAGAACCCATGGTTTTACTAAGGGATGATTCTATTGTTAGTAAGAGCTTTCTCTTTTTATGGCATATCTTGGCAAAGTAATCTACCATATTGTACAGAAAATTAATGAAGAAAACTATACAATTGCTTGTCAAAAGGAGAGTACAAGGGGCCAATTGATAATTTGGGTTCAACCAGATTCAGGCTTCTCCAAGAATGCCTATCCCCGAGAACAATAGGAACGGTTTTGGCAATATTCATGATGCACCTAAGGATGGACCATCAGTTCAAAAATGGAGAAGTCAAACAAGAGGAAAGGTTTAGGCAAATTCCCTTCTACCATTTTTCTTCTACTATCGACATTGGCAATTTTATAAGAAGGTATTGGATATGGTTTTAGCCTCAACTGTTTCGGGTTATAAACAGTTTGACACGCTAGACCGTCTTATTAAATGGGTCAACACAAATACGACTAAACACCACTTGTACACAGCATGAACCCACTACACACGATTATACAAGGGTTGGATATGAGTCGAACAAATTTTAACTTGAGACAAACTCGAAACAACACAACCCATTGTCAACCTTAACAATCATACACAGTAACTCAACAAGTTTAAGGCATGTAAATCATCAAGAACCTCTCTATGAAAAAAAACCCAATAGAAGATGAGAACTTCCTTTGCTCATACGATCCATCAAAATAGTTATGTTTGTTATGGGGAATGAATTCCAAGAAAACCAAACCCCCCAAACCGAAGTCTATTTTCTTGGAAAACACGAAATGACATCAATAAAGATTTAGAATTGTGATTCCATGACTCGTAATGACTCCACCATATCATTATACACAACAATAACCCTAGAGTCCTACCACAAAAATCTATACCACTAATAAAAGTACTTTAACATGAAAAAATTTTGATTCTCAAATTTACCCTTGATTATTTTTGCAAAATCCATTTAATCCCTGATCCAATAATTAGCATAATTATAATTAATTTAAAATTTTGACCCTACATATTTGGGTACTAAATTTCTAATTGATATATGGTTCTATTATCAATTAACCTTGGATCACTTCATAGACTCTTCAAATTCTAAGAATTAATTTTTAACCAATTGGACCTCTTTTATATTCTCCATTCTTTCACACCACAAATCGATATAGACTCTATGAATTCTTTCCCATCAATGACCAATGTATTAGATATTAACTAGAGACCTTCCATTCAAGCATCAATATTTAGCTTCCTTTATAGAATGATGGACAAGATGAACGGGTCTCTCTTCCAAAGTCCTATGGTTTAATCTCCACAATATGATCTCTCTTATATGAATGCATTTGTATTTAATTTTGTGTGTGTGTATACATATATATAATTGATTGTATACACATATATTTTTATTTCTCATATATATTTTTATTTCAAATGTGATTGACTTCATCTATGCATGCGCTAAGAGCATTATCTAATATAAAGCACAAACGAAATCAAAGATTAGCAGCAGTAATAAAAATATGTACCCTAAATGTTTTTTGAATTGAGATATACACTTAGTTCTTTCTTTTTTATTTGATATTCATGTTAATACTAGTCATGCATATAAACAAATAGACCCTATCTTTTATATATTTGTGCTAAGACATATAGAAATTTTTTTTAATTTTTAATTTATCCTTAATTAATAATATAAAGTTAATTATAAACTTTTCTATAACTTTAGAATGATTAAATATAATAGGTTAATAGTTATTGTCATATGTTCAATAAGGAGAACATAAAAAGTTCTTATATAATAGGAGGCTTTAGTCTTTCTTTCATATCGAAGTAGCTTAAACATATCAAACCAACAGTTTTGCCTCTAATTAGCCCATATATTGTAATGGTGGCATTTAGTTTTTGATCCTAATATTTTATTAAGACCCATTGTTGATGAAGTATTGTCCGTAATAACTATAAATAGATATTGGCTATATTTTATATTTTATCATATTGTTCGTCTTTTAAGTCAATTTAATTATTTTAGCATTTTTTTTTTTTGAAGGGGAGGGGCGTCCTAATAGAATATGAATCTTGAATATTTAACTGTTAATGGTTATTAAAGTTGTGGATTTTGCTAGAAGAAAAGTGATCAACAACTTTGATATATAACATTTTATACGCAAAAATGTATACATGCAACGCATGTGGGTAACAACTAGTACTACAAATACAACAAAGTTTTAGCACATCACATAAAACAAACCCCAATAGGTTTACATGTTAGCCATGAGTCTCCTATACAAAGTTGGAGGCCTAGAGTTCAAATTTTTTATTGGGTCAGTAGTGGATCTTTCTTATAGTTGGTTAGTGCAATAGGAATGGGAGGAATATTTATGCTGGAAGGTTTATTCAACTGCTCTAAGATGCCAGCATTCCTTGTACTTATCCCCCAAAAGAAAATCATAAACATTACCCTTCTTTCTATTGTTTAAAGCCCCACGCCGAGCAGCCCAAGCCAAACGGACGCCCTAGGTAAAATTCTTGGATTGGGGCCTATAAATTATTGGTATTATTACTATAGTATATAATATTCATATAGCTAATTAAATACGAAAGATATTTACTTATAGATAATTTTATTACTACTTGAGATGCTAAATTACTATTTAATTTTTTGCATTCAAATTTTTTAACCATATCATATAAATTGATATAATTCATTCAAGGAAATAAAGAAGTTCTTAACAAAACGAATTTGAACAATGGAAAACAACAATTAGATTTACTGATATTATATCAATTAATACTTAAGATATTGTATCAATTAGATTATGAAGTTGTTAGGGTTTATAGCAAGAGAGAAGAAGAATAAGAGTGGAAGAAGAGAAGATTATGTGAAGAGAGTAGTGTGTTAGGGTTATACAGGTATATCCCAATATATATATAACCATAAAATATCAAAATACCCTTAAGGGTTACATCCTAATATAACATAATATAACACTCCCCCCGAAGTTAGTGCATAAATATCACTCATGCCCAACTTATAAATGATAGGATGAAAAATCGTGCTACTAAGCCCTTTTGTGAAAACATCAGCCAACTGATTTTCTGATTTCACAAAGGGCATACAAATCAAACTCTTGTTCAGTTTCTCTTTGATGAAGTGTCGATAAATCTCAACATGTTTAGTTTTCTATCATGTTGAACTAGATTGTGTGAAGTGTTGCTAGTTGCCTTATTATCATAGTACAGTCTCATAGGCCCATCACCATGAACTCGGAGCTCACTTAATAGAATTTAGAGCGACACAAGCTCATAAGCTCCATGGGTATGGGCCGTATGGCTCTATATTCAGCCTCTGCACTAGATCTGGCTGCCACTATTTGCTTTTTACTTCGCCATATGACAATATTTCTTCCTATCAAATCAACATACAATAACCTGAAGTGGATCTTCTTTCATTTACTGAACTTGCCCAATCTATATCAACGAATGCTTCTAGTTTTAAGTAATCATTATAAGAGAACAAGATCCATTTTCCTAGGACTGACTTGAGATATCTCAAAATACAACGCACAACTTCAAGATGAGGAACTCGAAGATCATGCATGAACCAAGGATCAAAATTTTGTTTCGGTGCATTGTTTCGATCACTTAGAAAACAGAAACGTTTCGACATGTTTTGAAAACGTTTCGACCTGTTTCAAAAATAGAATGAAAAAATATAAAAATTATTTTTTCAAAATATTGGTCGAAATATACCAAAATATCTTGAAACATTCCAAAATAATTGTGCAAATGCATTGAAATATAACAAAACATTTCGAAACATTATGGTACATTTCGAAGTATTAGTATTTCGATTCCATCACTGATTCGTTTTGGTCTCCTTGGAAGCAGAAACGTTTCGAATGTTTCGACAGTTTTGAAATGATATTTTGAAACTTGGCATAAACTGACTTACAACCCCCACTGTGAAGAATTTTAATTTTAACATCGACGTGGGTACCAACCATTTTATGAAAAGAGCAGAAGCAAGAAAAAACTTCACTTTTACTACGTAGTAAGTAAACCAAGGTAAGACGAGAATAACAATCAATAAAAGTGACAAACTAATGATAACATGAGTTACAGACAATACGGGAAAGTCCCCACACATCATAATGAATAATAATAAAAGAAGCGGTGCTTTTATTATTAGTGCTAGGACAAGAAGAATGTTTATGCTTGGCAAGTTTACAAGCATCATAGACAAAAAATTGTCTATTACACTGCTTTACTAGATTAGGAAAAATATGTTCTAAAACACCAAGTGAGGGATGCCCTAAACTTCTGTGCCACTGATTTTAAGAGCTGAAGAGTCAGAACACCATCTATTTGGAAAGCTTGACAAGTGGCCTGAAGAGAAGCTTCATCATCCAGGAGATATAAACTACCATGTGTTTTACCACTGTCAATTGTTTTTCTCGATACCAGTTCTTGAAAGGTACAATGAGTAGGAAAAAAAGTCACTGAACAATTCAAGAATTTAATAATACTACTAACAGACAATAAGATAGTTGAGAAATTAAGAACATTGAGAACAGAGGAGAGAGATAGAATGTGTGAGTAATTAATTGAACCTTTCCCAGAACCTAAGGATAAAGATCCATTTGCCACCTTGACTTTATCCCTATCTAAACATATAATGTATGAAGAGAAAAGATTAGAGGAACCCATCATATGGTCTGTGGCTCTAAAATCTATTATCCAAGGAACATATGAGGATGATGAAGTAAACACACTAGATATACATGTATGAGCAAAGTTGAAAGAAGAAGTATGGTGAGGGCGCAAGGATTTGGGTTATAACAAGGGCTGACGTCATTAGACAAAGATTATGATGTCATTATGACATCATCCACCAACGACGGTCTCATTTATTGATTCTCTAAGGGTTTTAACGTGGTATGGTTTATTCAATAGCGTTTTTTATTTTTTGAATGTTTTTTGAAAAATAAGGTCAAAATTTTTTAGTTTGGTTGTTTCATCAGTTTTCTTCAAATTTATCGCTTCAAGGGTGTGATTTGGGTTGATTTCTCATGAATACTCCTATGTTTCTAACTTGTATCGGATCGTAACGTGCTCTGATACCACGTAAATGTCGATTACATAATTGAAAGAGAAGAGTGAAATAGGAGAAAGAAGAATAGAATATTATTATTGCTAAATTAGTCTGTTATAGCTTAAGATAAAATATGCATAATGGAAACCTTTGTAGCAAGGCAAAACAAATAGAGGATAAAACAACTAAACTACCCCTAACACTAAAATACTCTTAACACCATTGTACTAGGCTTTCTACGGCAGGGTAATAATGACTGTAAATAAATTCTGGCATTCAAGACTTCCGAAGCCGGAATGAGAGGTAACATGATGAAAATTGACCATAAAAAATCAAAAATAAATGAGAAATTACAAAAGCTTTTTCTATAGTAGCAATGGCATGCTGAAAGTTACAACCTAAAAAGGTTAAGCGAAGCAGATCAAGTTACGACAAATTGGGTCGAGTTAAGATCGATGACTATTATTAGATCAATTCCAAGTTTTTCACCTTATTGAGTCGTAAATCGTAATTTCTTCCAAATTTATCAGTATTTTTTTTTCTTTCTTTTAAAACCCGGGCTACCGATGCATGGAGCATCGCCCACCAAATTTAACAGTATAGTTCTGAATCAGTGATGCATATTTTTCCATAAAGGCCTCATCAGGTTAAACTTCTAAGATTGCAAATTAGGTATGAAACTGATGCTGCACATAATTAAAGCAACAGAGGTAAAAAAACGAGTCCCAAAATCAAAATTTGAGCTAGAGCATAAAGAAATCAAAAATGGAATCAAAAAATTACCCAATAACACCACATAAAAATCCAACCCAGCTAATCAGAAACGAATATCTGCAAAGAGAGAGCCCCAAGAGAGACTCAGGCACAAAAAGAAATCACTGACACTAGGCAATCAAATCCAATAACACTCCACACCCAGAATAAAGACTGGAAACCAAACTAAAAAGAGAGCATGAAAACCTAAAAATAGATCACTAACCTGATAGATGGATGAGTTGGTCCAAGGTTTTTGCAAAAGCGAAAAATTACATGATCGACCTCTACTCCCCTTGGAATAAGCCAATAGTAACCAGGCAATACCCTCATCCGCATGGAGGGGAGTGCATACCCCGTTGAAAAAAAAAATGGAAAAACGACAGATTTCACCCAAACAAGCAGATAGGTTCATAAGAGACCCCTTCTCAATAGACGAGCTTGATTATTGAGTATCTACAGATCACACCCAAACCAAAAGTGTGCACCTTTACAGTTTCATTTGGTCTCCTTATGGATTGGTGGTCAACATCATTCAATAGTCAAGATTGTCTTCTTACGATTGTGTCCACATGCTTCAACAACAGAACCAACACTTGAGCCAGATTACAAAGAAATCAGAAACAGAATCAACACTTGAGCCGGAGCACAAGAAATCATGAACAGAACTATGTATGCGATTTCCAGAGTACTTAAAGCAAAATTCCATTCACAAAGAACGAAAAGGTAGAGCAATTTAAATGCCAACATCACAAAACCCCAACCAAATGAAAATCTTTGAGAATGAAGTTTAGCAATCTTATGAGAGACCAAATAAAAAGGTATGAATAACTCAGAAAAAACAGAAATATCATGAAAGATAAAGGAAAAGCTAGACAAGATAACCCAATAAAACTAGATAAAAATCTCACTAGGCCAATTAGAAACAACCATCTTCAAGGAGAGATCCTCATATGGAAAACAACAAAAAGAGACTCGTGCGCAAAAAAAATCACTGGTACCAAGCAATCAAACCCACTATAACAGCGGAAAGACCCAAAACCAAACTCAAAAGAGAAAATGAACCACTATATATAAATTACTAACCTGAGAGATGGATGAGTCTGTTCAGGGATTTTTGCAAAAGTGAAGATTGATGACCGACTTCCACTGCTCTTGGAATTGCATTTATCTTGGAGTTAACTGACAATGCCTCATCCGCGTGGAGGGTAGTAGCATACCCCTTTTCTGGAAGAAACCCACTTGCCATTCAGAAAGATCTGATGCACTCTCAAGTTTTTCATCCCCAAGGGTCGCAAATTACATAAAAGTACTTTTTCACAATTTTGTCGGTGATCTACCAACCCACCAACCATCATTGCCAAAAGCATCAACTGTGTGATACAAACAAAACCCAATTGCTGAAATCTCAGGCAGCACCGGCCAGACCTCATTGGTGGCCACAATCTCTCTTAAAGGTCTACAGAGACCATCTTTCAAGGAAGCTCTGAATTGTTGATGTGTGGTATGAACCCACAAACTCCTCTTCTTGGCTTGCAACTTCCACTTGGTCACCTCTGCAAAACATCATTAACTTTGTTAATGGTGCTGTCAGTATCAACCCAATGCGATTTTAGAGAGAGATGGTTTGGTATTTCAAGGAGAAACTATAGACGTAGAAAGAAAGTGGCCTTCTGAGATTCTTGAGAGCGATGAATGCTTGAAATTAAAGAGCAGCTAAGGTTTTCAGCTCGAAAGCAGTTAACTTTGATCTACTTCAGAAGCTAAGGTTGTGGGGGTTGTATGAATGTGATCATCGCAGGGAAACCGTCAGATTTTCATAATTTTGACGATTAAAAAAGATGTGGATTCAATATTATCAATTAATCTTAGCACTGATCAAGTTAATCATTTATGATTAAATTGGTCAAGTCCAAGGTTTTATGGATCACTTAGGATTCAGCGAACAATTGACTTGACAGAAATTAACTTTGAAATTAAGAGCATCTCGATACCAGGATTGTATTGACTATTTGCCCAATTTAGACTATTTGAGTACGAAGGCATCGTGTTTACATAGAGTAATTCATATTGGTGATTTTCTAAACTATGAGTAGTAGATATGACTTTAAACCAAGAGCAGAGCTCACATCGAGGTGGAAAAGGTAAAACCATATAATCTCTCGCTTATTGAAAAGATGAGTTGCACTCCGTAAATTCTTAGTTGTGTAAGTGTAATATATGATTATTATTTTACTAAGCCAAATGCACATAATTTCCTCCCAAGCTCAGATGGTGAGAACCATAAAGGTGAACATGGTCAACAAACAGCACTACAGTGTTCAACATCATGCAGCTATTCAAAAAGGGATGTACACAAAAATAAGTGTTGCCACTCCTCAGTTTGCTAAAAATTCCACTTACTAGTTAGCAATGTACTCGCAGAAAGTAATTCTGTATTTCTTACTGCTATGGTGTTGCTATTAACATTCTTAGAAGTTTACAATCCTTAATGTTCATACCCTGCACAATACAAAGAATGACTAAGCTGAGACAGATATATATCATCATTGTGGTTCAGGTTTTGAAACCCCAAGGCACAGTTCATGCATCGAAAAATACATAAATAAAATCAATCAAATAATTAACATGATAAATGCATTAACATGAGCAGCAAGGCATACCTGACAATCATATTAGACTCTATTTCCAGCCAAAAGTTGAGCACTTGAAGAGAGTCGTGAATAAATAGGTATACAAAGAGGGGAATTAACAGCAAGCTAGTCCAAAAGTGAGTAAGAATGTCACAGAGAATTTTTTTTTTTTTAAAATAACTGCTGGAAAGACGAAGTGTCTATTTGGATTTCAATGTGGGATGCATTTGAAATCGTCGTGCCAGAATCTCTAAGAAGTTCTTACCAATACCACTTTTGTGAGCACTAACTTGTCCTGTTGGGAGGAAAAATCAGCTATTTTGATCATTTCAGGCATATCATTAATATTTTATTAAGATAGAGAATGGAGATTCCGAAATTACGACATGTGACCAAACTGATCTCTGGTACAGTTAACCCCAATGAATTCCAAATAATATAGAATCCTAAATTCTTTTTACATTTCTAAGGAAGGATTTTAATGCCTGCTGAAATGTTGAAAGGAATACACAAACCTGCTCAGAGTGTTGTCACTTTAAACTTCAGAAGATATAAAAATGAATGGATCGTGGGAAACTCAATGTTGTCATCATCGTCTAGAACATTACACACTGGTGGTTGCTAGCTAGAGATAGAGAGAGAGAGAGAGAGAGAGAGTAACGAAAATAGCAGAGCATAAATCATGAAGAGTCATGGCAGCAACAGCTATTGCTAGTAAAGTCATTTCACTTAATGTGCATGGAGTTGATGCAATTGAACAACGAAGAAGAGCAACAACATTGGCAGAGGGAAAAAGGAGAGGGATCCTCCTTTCAACTGCAATTGCAGTCACCCAAGTGAATGGCTCCAGGCTGAGCTTCTCAACAATATTTCTTATGTTAGCCTTTTGTTGCTTATTTTGATTTCTTAGCTATGCATGTGCGATTCTTTCTCACTGCTCAACTTGGAAACTGCTGTTTTCGAGAGCTTAATCACTGAAATATTTTCTCAGAATGTCTGAAGAAATCAGAAGAAAACAAGGCCAAGAATGACAAGGAGGTAAACACTACTGCCAGATTAGTTGACATTTTGTTGGTGCACATATGGATGCTATACACAAGTTAAGTGGAAATATGAAAACTACAGATTTAGGGTTTGTGAAAGGATATTTGAAAGGTTAAGAACAAAGAACATCATTCTAATTTTCTATATATTTTAATGCTCCCCCTTAAGCTGGTGCATAGATATTACACATGCCCAACTGGCTTAAAATGTTTTAAAACAACTTACTCAATACCCTTTTAGTTAATACATCAACTAACTGTTCTCCCATCTTCACACAAGGGGTGCAAATAAGACTAGAGCTTAGCTTCTCTTTAACGAAATGACAGTCAACTTCGATGTGATTGACTCAAGCCTGCTGAACTGAATTATGTGCAATTTTGATGGAAACTTTGCTATCACAATAAAGTCTCATTGAGTCATGTAAATCAACACCAAGCTCTATTAATCCTTGACCATAAAAGTCTCGCCAGCCCGATGTGCCATTGCTCTAAACTCGGACTTTACACTGGATTTTGCTAAAAACATAATGTCACTCAGAAATAACAATTCTCAAATCTCCCATTTGATTTTGCAAATTATACCCCAAAAACATAATTCAGATCACCCAAATCCTTTATCTAGAAATCCTTGGCCAAAGACAATTGCAAGGCTTGCACATCTTTAGTATCATCATCATTTATGACTATCATCTACATAAACTATAAATATAGTAAACTTCATGTGTTTATGCCTGACGAAGAGAGTACGATTAGTCCGACTCTATTGCTACCCATACTTCTGCATAGCTGTACTAAATCTCTCAAATCAAGCTCTACAAGATTACTTAAGCCATAGAAAATTTTCTTTAACCTGCAAACTTGGCCTTCCACGAAAAATCAGGAGGAGCATCTATGTAATCTTCCTCTTTCAAATCACCATGAAGACAAGCATTTTTCTTATCTAGTTATTGAAGAGACCATTCCAAGTTTGTTGCCAAGGAAAGCAACACTCTAGTAGAATTCATATAATCAATGTCATAAGTTTGAGTAAAACCCTTAGCCACTAATCTAGTTTAGAGCTTTCAATTGATCCAGTCGCCTTATGCTGTAAAGTAACTACCCATGAACACCAAACTACTGTTTTGTTTTCCACCAGAAAGAATTATAAGGTCCCATGTATCCTTCCTCTGAAGAGCCCTCGTCTCTTTTACCATAGCTAAATTTCACTTAGAATATGTCAAGGCATCCTTACAAGTTACAATCCTATGGAACTATCATCGAAGACAAAATGGAGACAGTTGAAAGCAATAAATTGATGTTAGAGTTAGAGAAATATGGAGAAAAGAGAAGAAGAGGCCGAGAATAAAGAATTAGTTGTGTATGAGCTATGTTGCCCTACACCATCTTATTTATAACTGAGCAATATTTTGGATAATTATAATATTACCCTACACTAATAGACTTATGACTTCATATATAAAATAAGAACTCTAACGCTCCCCCTCAAGTTGGAGTAAAAAAGTATAAAAAATGCCTAACTTGGAACATAAACTACTAAAGGTCGATCAAGCCAATGGCTTGGTAAGAATGCCACTCAGTTGATCACCAGAATTAATATATGGAGTTATAATCTCCTTTTTCATCAATAGATCTCAGATGAAATGATAATCCACCTCAATATGTTTGGTACGCTCATGAAATACCGGATTACTTGCAATGAAAATCGTTGCTTGATTGTCACAATGCATCTTCATGGGAGAAGGTGCATCAAGTCCTATATCCCGGAGCAAAGAACGAACCCATAATATCTCATAAGCAGTATGAGCCATAGCACGATATTTTGCCTCCGCACTACCACGCACAAACACATTTTGCTTCTTACTATGCCATATAACAAGGTTATTTCCAACAAACGTATAGTAACCAAATGTGGATCGTCTATCACCATGACTACCCGCCCAGTCAGCATCAGAAAAACCAACAACAGTTATGGGTGATGATAGACAATATAACAATCATTTCCCTGGAGCTCCTTTCAGATATCAAAGTATGCGACTGACAGCCACCCAATGATGCTTACGAGGAGCATGCATGAACTGGCTAACAACCCCAACAACATATGTAATATCAAGACGTGTAACTATGAGATGAATCAATTTTCCAACCAGCCTCCAATAACACCCCATATGATCAAACATTTCGTCACTCTCAGAATCTAACTTAACTGTAGAATCTACAGGCGTATCAACCGAACGAGCACCAAGAGTGTCAATTTTAGATAATAAGTCAAGTACGTACTTTCGTCAACACAAACTAAGACCTTCCTTTGACCGGACAACCTCAATCTCTAGGAAGTATCGAAGAAAGTCCAAATATTTGGTGTGAAACTGTTTTTCCAAATAGGCTTTGAAATGGGCAATACCATTTCAGTATTTACCACTAATGATGATGTCGTCGACATACACAATAACAATGATAATGCCTACAGAATACTGATGACTAAAGGCTGAATGATATGAAGTAGAACGTTGAAAACCAAACTAAACCACAACAGTGCTAAACTTATCAAACCAAGCACGTGGTGATTGCTTCAAGCCATAAATTACTTTCTTCAACCGACACACTAATTGTTCTTGACCAGTGACAATATAACTTGGTGGTTGAGTTATATACCTCCTCCAATAAATCTCCCAGAATTCTTTACATCTAGTTGATACAAGGGCCAATTACAATAGACTGCAATAGAAATAAGAACTCTAACAAAGTTAAGACAGACAACAGGATAGAAAGTCTCACAGTAATCAACACCATATGTTTGGTGGCAACCAACCGTGTCTTCGAACGCTCAACAGACCTATCAGGATGATATTTCACAATGTAGACCTAACGACAACCGACAGTCTGCTTACCAAATGAAAGAGAAGTGAGATCCCAAGTATAATTGTCATAAAGTGCCTTAATTTCCTCATTCAGAGCCAACTTCCATCCAGGAGATGATAATGCTAGTGTCAAAGAATTAGGAACAAATACAGAAGACAAAACTGATGCAAAATAGCGAAAAGTTGAGAAAAGCCTATGCAAGGAGACAAAATTAGAAATAGGATGTTGGATACAAGTACGAGTACCTTTCCACAATGCAACAGACAAATCAGAAGAGGATGACGCATTAGACGGATTAGAAGGAAGGACCTCAATATAAGCAGACATTGGTTGTGGAGCTGGACCATATGGAACAACTTGTCTATCTATGGAATTGTGGTAAAGTTGTAAGGGAGCCAGAGTGGAAAAGGTACACAATCGGGTACAAGTGGTAATATGAGCTTCCCCTGACTAGTAGATATTAAATTTGGAGATAGAGTAGTTCCCGAGCCAGAAAAAAAGGAGGATGACTCAAAAAATATGACATTGGCACTGACATAATATCAACAGTAGACAAGGTCATAACAACGATATTCTTTTTGAGTATGAGAGTATCCTAGAAAGAGACACTTTACCGCACGCGATGAGAGTTTATCTCAACTCGAACCAAGGGGGTAAACAAATGCAACACATCCAAATACCTGAGGAGTTAGGCTAAAGGGTGATGTATCAGGATAAAGCAATGAGAATAGAGAACCCTTACTGAAGATGGATAAAGGCATTCGATTAAGAAGATAAACTGTAGTAAGAACAGCGTCTGCCTAGTAAGGTTTGGGTATATGGATGTTAAACATGAGAGTACGAGCAACATCCAATATATAACGATGTTTTGCGTTCTGTAACACCACGTTACTAGGATGTATGATACCATGGTCGGCACAAAATGTACGCATAAAGGATTGTACATGCTCAAGGGCATTATCAAAACAAAATATCTTAATATGTTTATCAAACTGTACAACAATTTCATTGTAAAAGGTAAGAAAAAATTTAGGCAACTCAGAGCGATCCTTCATAAGAAACAAACAAGTCATATGAGAATAATTATCAATAAAAATCACAAAATAATAAAATCTAAAAATATTTTTTATTCTTGAAGG